GGGACGAACTGCGTGCGTTGTAGAGCGCTGTAGAGCGCGATTTTGCTGTAGAGTTTGTTGTAGAGGCTCTACAGCCAACCCGCCGGGAAGGCAGTGACTCAAAGAGGTCGAGCCGCGCTAATGGGGTGTCTCCGAGCTTACTGGAGCTCTGATGGACGGCACTGACTATCCCTGACACACAGAGAGTCACTCTGAAGGCACACAACACCCTATAACTGCGTCGTCATGACCAGCCTGCCATGCGTCGCTGGTGCCGCATTCGTCGCAGTGCTTCTTTAGCAGGCGGTGGACTGTCGGCTGCGAGGACGGTCGCATTTGCGCGAGGCGAGGCGAGCATTTTGCTGCGCGTTGCATGCGCCATGCCTCGCGCCAGCGCGTGCGGGAGCTCCTGGCTGAGCGTTGAGTCCAGGCGAGTTGCGCTGGCCACTATCGCTACGCCGAGCCGAGCTGACGCGCCGAGGCGCCGGCCAGTCGCAGCCGTGAGGCATGCCACAGCAGCAGAGGCACCTGCCACCCATTGGGCGGGCAGACAGAAGGCCAGGGCAGCACTGGCAAGTGCAACGCGCCTCATGTCGGAGAGCGACCGTGCCTCGTTCGCCGCTTTTGATGCACGTACGTGTAGAGATTTCAAGTGCGCACGTTGGAGAGCGCCTCTACATCGCTCTACAACGCACGCAGTTCGTCCCGCGGCGGATGTAGAGCTCTACAGCGCTACAGCGCTCCAGAGCGCTCTACATCTCTACAGCTCTACAGCGCTCTACACTCTACATCCTCTACACCCTCCCTCAGTCGGGGACAGGCTCTACGAGCAAGAAAGCCCTGTCTGTGACCCTTGGGGGGTGCGCGTTCGGCCGTTCGCAGGGAAGGGGCCACCGCCACGTCAATTCTTTTTTGAGCCTGGGGCGGGGTGGGCCTGGGGCGGGGTTGTGGGCGGTTCCGGTTGGGGGTGGGGTGTTGCCAGGGGTGCGGGTGGGTGCGGCGGACGCCGGAGTGGGATTATGGTTTACTTCTTTTGCCAGTCCGCACCTGTGTCGAGCCTGTCTGCTGTGAGAGAGAGTTGATTTTGGAGCACTTGGAGTGCAGTCAGCAACCGCACATCCAGGCACCAGGGCCGGGGGGCTAAGAAGCACACCGGGCCAGACAGATGATCGGCATCGGGTTACGGGCTAGATAGAGAGCCCTAGCCCACGTACGTAGCCCTGGGGGGTGCGCGTTCGCAGGGAAAGGGGGGCCGTAAAGTAAACATCTCCGAGATTCTTAATTCTTTTGGTGTACCTTTTGGTGTGCCAGTGCGCGCCAGTCCCGTGCCAAGTGTCGTGTGAGGGCTTTCGCAAAAAAAAGGAAAATTTGCAGTTTACTACGTTTTGAGCTTTTCTCTTGCAGATTACTACACACCACACAATCCACCTTGCAGATTACTACACAGACACAATCCACCTTGCAGATTACTACGCACCACACAATCCACCTTGCAGATTACTACACACACACAATCCACCTTGCAGATTACTACACACCACACAATCCACCTTGCAGATTACTACACACCACACAATCCACCTTGCAGATTACTACTCATCACACATTCATCGCATGATCCGAGGTTGGTTTTTGCACCCGCAGCCCTTCCTGACCGGGGCGCCGCACCTGCGGCAACCGTACTGCCGAGACGCGCGAGGTGGAGCTGGCAAGGCAGGTGCGTTCGCCATCGGCCCTGCGTCGTCGGCGCCGGCAGCTGCGGTGAGGGCTGCGGCGGTCTGAGAAGCATCCTCGTCGCCAGAGGGTGCCACTGTTCGCCTCCTCTTCGCGCCCGACCCCTCGCCTGGAGACAGGATGCGGCCCCGCTTGGGCCTGCCTGGCTTGGTTGGAAGGAAGACGGGCAGCTTGAGCCGGCTCGGCGGTCCATCTGGCACACTGCCGGCGCAAAGTTGAAGTTGTACTGCGCCTGCCAGACGGCCGTGGTGTATTCGGAGTCGACGAGCTGAGCAATGTCGGGGACACCCTTTTTCTGCACCGCCACAGCCGCCAAGCACTCGCACGGGAAGCCGGTGACCTTCTTGAGCCCAGTAGGATGACGCCCGAATCAAGTTTCAGCGTTCAACCAGTAACTGCAACCTCGGATTTGCAGGTGAGTAAACTGCGAGGTGGATGTGTGGTGTGTAGTAATCTGCAAGGCGGATTGTGTGTGTGTAGTAATCTGCAAGGTGGATTGTGTGGTGTGTAGTAATCTGCAAGAGAAAAGCTCAAAACGTAGTAAACTGCAAATTTTCCCAAAAAAAATCTTCGCATAGCCAACACATGATCACTCGTCTCTCGGGCCTCCGGCGCCCGCTCGCTCGCCCGCTGCGCGTGCCGCTCGTCTTCGCCCCGCGCCTGGTCGCCACCGCCGCAGCGCCGCCGCCGTCGCCGCCGCCGCCCGCCGCCAACGAGCGGGCCGAGGCGGACGCCGAGCAGGCCTTTGAGCAGGCGCTGGCGCAGATGGACGCGGGGCGGGTGGGTGACGCGATCGACGGGTTCGCCAGCGCGGCGCGCGCCGGATCCGCCGGCGCCAACTTCTTCCTCGGCCTCGCGTACGACGGGCTGCTCGGTGAGAATGCGCTCGGCGAGCCGCATGTCGAGGTCGACCCGTCGGCGGCAGCGCGGTGCTACCAGCGCGCGGCCGAGGCGGGGCACGCCGAGGCGATGCTCAACCTGTCGCTCTGCTTCCGCAACGGCGAGGGCGTCGACCGCTCCGCGCGCGCCGCCTTCCAGTGGACCGAGCGAGGCGCGGCGGCCGGGTGCGAGCGGTCGATGTTCAACGCCGGCGTCGCACTCGACCCGCTGCACCCTCCGTGGGGCTCGCCCGGCGCGGCGGAGGCCGAGCTGCAGCCCATTTCCAAAGACGGCAAACGCGCCGCCGGCTACTACCGCGACGCCGTCGACGCCGGCCACGCCAAGGCGATGGTCAACCTCGGCATTCTCCTGTACACGGGCACGGGCGTCGAGAAGGACGCGGCGGCGGCGGCCGAGCTGTGGCGCGCCGCGCTGGAGGAGGGAGTGCAGCAGGCCGACTTTTGCCTCAAGAACATGGAGGAGCGGCCCGGCGAGCTCACCAACATGTTTGAGAATCATCAGCAGAGCTAGCTTTCACAGGCGAACCGCGTAGAGTAACGACCCCGTTCTCGAATTTCTCACTAGAGCCATGTGCACCGCGTTCTAGCATGTATGCAAGAGATCAACAGAGAAAGCATGTATGCAAGAGATCAAAAGAGAAAGAGGCGCGTATAAACCTTTTATTTGCGCGCGGCGGGCCCCGCTGGCCCCGGGCCCCGCCCCACGGGGGCCGGCGGGGAGGCCCCGCGGCCCGCGGGAGGGCGCAGCAACACCCGCTGAGGGCATCGAAATACGAAACGGCACGCACACACATGGATCGAAAGGCATGATTAGCAGTCCAGGTAATCCTTTAGACGCCACCAAAGATACTGGTAGCCGTGCAGTATCGTGGAGTCGAGCGAGCCATGCGCCTCGGCGCTCGGCGGCGTCGCAAACTCGGCACAATCGAGCACCTCGTGCGTGCTGTAGAGCCGTGCCCGCGCCGTGTCGTTCCGCTCCGGAAAGAGCCGGGAGCAGCAGACGCACGAGCGAAGCGGCTCGGAATACATGAATGACGAACAGGAGGCCGCGCCGGCCGCCTGGGCACACAGCGATGCCGAGCGCGGGCGGCCTCCCACCGCGACACCCTCTCTGCTGCACGCGTGGCTGGCCGCGCTGAACGAGTACGAGTAGCGGTGGCCAGAGCTGTGGTTCACTTTTTGCTGCGTGCTTAGGGCCGACTCGGCGAAGGCGGCGGCAAACGAGAGCGCAGCTCCCCAATCGGCACCGTCTGCGGCAGCGGCGATCCGCGGGCCGCTGCAGAGGAGTAGGAGCAGGAGCGGCGGCAGCAGTCGCTGTGGCGGCATAAGCGTTCAACTGTGGGGGTCCACACGCTTAGGGACGTCGCCGGCGCTGCCAGCTGCAGCAGCGGTTCGGTCCTCGCCCGCGCATTTCTTTATTTTCCGCTATTTCCAACTCCTGCGGGCCACTCCTGATGTCCGGTGATGTCCGGTGTATTAGTATATTCAAACCAGAAAAGAAACCCCCTAGGTTTTTCTTCCCACCCCGGACAGGGTGGCCCGCCACAAGGACCCCAGGAATTGCGACTCGCCGCTTTCCTCCCGCTGTGATTCTGTGTGAGCTCTGTGTCTTGATTTGCCAACAATATACCTAAAACCCCTGCGCGCGGGAGCCAAATACTACCCGCCAATGGATGGTGCTGCTCGTCGGTGGGTCTGTCTTGTCCTCCCCGACATGACAGACAGAGTCTCCCTTTTATTGGATATTGCGAGATCTTGCGTTGTTCTTGTTGAGCACTTGAGCACTGGATAGGGTCGATTCCGCATGGTACGGGACCCCTCGATCGTCTCGCCCTCCCTCACGTGCTGGCGGTTCGGTCCTTGTCGCAGCATTTTCTTTATTTTCGCGTTTTTCTTCCCACTCCTAAAAACTACCACCGAAAGCAGTGTTGTCCCTTTTATTGCGAGAGCTTGCGCTGTTCTTGTTTGCAAGCAGTCATGTGTTCAAGGAAGCGGCGGGCACCAACACGGACCTGATGGTGTACGGGGCGGCGTCGGCGAGCGCCTCCTGCTTCGTCGTCCACCACACGCAGCAGATCTCCATGGGCCATGGCGGCGGTGCCGGTGGCGGGCGACGCCGAAAACATCAACAAGCAGGCGCGCAAAGATGCGCACCAACTGGGTCACGAACAAGCAAACGGCGGACGGCTTCTTGCGCTCAGCCGCAGTGGAGGGCGCCCGTACCGCCTAGCTCTGCGGACGGGCCCCTCCACCCTTCACGTAAGGATCTCATGTAGTCCCCACAATCGCTGTCGTGGGATCGCTTGTCATGTGAGAGAGGCTTGTTGTGTTCTTGTCATGTCCGTTTTGTCGACCACGCTTTCTCTCTTCCCACTCCTGCGCGGGAGCCAACTACCCGCCAAATGGTGCTGCTCGTCGACAAGTACCGTCCCAGGACGCTCGATGGGCTGGACCACGGCGCTTCGCTCAGCGCGTCGTTGAAGCGGCTCGTCGCCGGCGGTGACTTTCCGCACATGCTCGTCTACGGACCGTCGGGCGCGGGCAAGAAGACGCGGGTGATGGCGCTCCTGCGGGAGCTGCACGGGCCATCGGCGGAGAAGCTGCGGGTCGAGAGCCGCACCTTCAAGATCGGCACCCACAATGTTGAGCTCACGCTACTCTCCTCGCCGCATCACATCGAGCTGAACCCGTCTGATGCCGGTGCCCGTGGCGGGAGCGGCGCAATTCGCGCCTCCCGTCTCCTGCCTGAGTGACCCACCCGCCCTTGCAGGCAATCGTGACCGCGAGGTGGTGCAGGAGGTGATCAAGGAGATTGCGCAGACCGCGCCGGTCGTCGGCGCCGCCGCTGACGGCCAGCGCGCCTTCAAGGTTGTCGTGCTCAACGAGGTCGAGCGGCTGAGCAAGCCAGCGCAGCACGCGCTGCGCCGCACGATGGAGAAGTACGTCTCGACCTGCCGGCTGCTGCTCATCTGCACCAACCCGTCCAAGGCGCCCGCCCACTCCTGCCCCATCCGGCCGACTCACCGGCGCCCGACCGCCTCATGGATACACCTCCACCCGCCACCCGCCCTCCCGCCCTCCCGCCCGCCTGCCTGCCCGTCCCACCGCCTCCCCTCCTCCGGCCGCAGGTGATCGCTCCGATCCGGTCCCGCTGCATGTGCCTGCGCGTCGCGGCGCCGACGCACGACGAGATCTGCACCGTCCTCGGATCGGTTGCCCAAAAGGAGGGGCTCAAGCTGCCTGCGGGGCTCGCCATGCGCATCGCCACCGCGAGCGAGCGGAACCTGCGGCGAGCGACCCTCGCCGGCGAGGCGTGCGCGGGCGAGGGCGGCGCCTCTTCACCCGCCTCTCCCTGTGGCCAGGCGAGCGATCCTCACCCTCGAGGCGTGCAAGGTTGCTCAGTACCCCTTCACCGACAACCAGCCGCTGCAGCAGCCCGACTGGCTCGCCTACATTGACGCAGTCGCACTCGACGTGCTCCACGAGCAGTCGCCGCGCCAGCTCCTCAAGGCGAGACCGCCCGCCCCCCCCCCCTGCCCCCCCTGCCCGCGCGCCATGCCCACCCGCCATGCCCCGCCCCGCCCGCGCTGAGAGGCGCCACCCCCTCCACCCCTCCCGGCCCTTCCCCGGAGCCGCCCCGCTCAGCGCTCCGGGCTCGCCGCAGGTGCGCGGCCGGCTGTACGAGCTCATCAGCTCGTGCATCCCGCCCGACCTCATCTTCCAGCAGCTCACCATCGCCTTGCTCAAGCGCTGCCCCAAGCCGGTCCAGCACGAGGCGCTACACCACGCCGCAATCTACGAGCACCGGCTCCAGGCGGGCCAGAAGGCGGTCTTCCACCTCGAGGCCTTCCTCGCCCGCTTCATGTCCGTCTACAAGAAGCACATGGTGATGTCGCAGCGCTGAGACCGACCGCGTCCCCGCCCCTGTGCTCCTTCCGCCGCCGGACCATGTGGGCGCCTGTGGCTCGAGGAAGACGAGACAACCCCGGCGCTTCGGCCCCGCTTTGTTTGTGCATGTCTCGTGACTGCTGTCGCTCCTGTGCCTAAGCTGTGTGTTCGCAGTGTTGCTGAGGCGTGAGGCCAGTGTGAGAAAAATGGCGCGAGACGTCACGTCAAGCACACATCCACACGCGCCGGATGACGGACCATGAAACGCGGATGACGCACACTTGGCACATGGCTCATGGGGGCCCCCCCCGTGAGGCGTGAGCCGTGTGGGGGTGCTCCACGTGTGTAGAGGTGACGTAGGGCTAGGGACAGTGGAGGGAGTGAGAGACCAGAGTCCCGGACCGCGCGATACTCTCGCCTGCCGCTGCCCGTTGCGCACGGGCTCCCGCAGCGCCACCGCCTGCAAAGTGGGTGCCTCCGCCACCGAGAAGGACGAGTTCACTCGGCTGGTGCCTGTCTGTCTCGCTTGCCGCTGCTTCCGAGTCAGCTCTGCCCGCCAACTCCGTTCCCGCACGAATCGTAGGCATGAAGAGGGAGAGAAAGCAATGGAACGGGAGCTCAGAGCTTGGGTCGTGTCCGCTTTGCTGCAGGTGCCCAAGCAGCTCACTCACCTCATGCGACTCGAGGTGGCAGGAAAGCGCCTGCAAGACGAGCTCAATGTCCGCCATGCCAACAACGCCGCTGCCCGAGTAATCAAAGAGGCGGAACGCAACGTAGAGCGCTGCAAGTGCCTCATTCTCGGTCAACGCGAGGCTGCCCGGCCCAAACCCAGCCATAAGCCGCAGCATGGTCTGCGCGTAATCCGCAAAGCAGACCTGCCCTGCGGTCCATATTTTCGAGAGCGCTTCTCGGCCGGCCAGGGATAGATAGTGCTGACCGAAGGCCTCGAGAGCAAGCTCGACGTCTGAGCTCGACACCGCTCCTCCTCCCCTGATCTGGCCCGAGACAACGGAGAGGGGATCATCCGCAATGCTCGGCGAGGTGCAAAAGAGACTGAAGCTGGAGTGGAGGTCGTTGATGAGCGACCTCATCTCGGTGGTGGCGCAAAGGAGCGGCTGTGGGCAGGCGAGCGTTTCCTCTGTACCCATCACTGCCGTGCAGCCAGCTGCAGCGTCGACCGAGGTGGAGAGCCCAAGGCGCGCGCTCTGGGCAAGGCAGAGACCCTTTTCGCGTAGCAGGACCGCATCGGCCTCCGCACGTCGCGACTGTGCCTCTTCCTCTCGCCAGGCGCGTTCATCGATGGCGAGGCGCCGCTGCAGTGTGTCGTTCGCGAGCGCCTCGTCCTCGTGGCACCTTGAGCGCAGCGGGGTGGGAGCAGGCTCTTGCATCCTGGCTGCTAGTCGCCTCTCTCTCGCGAGCGCACGCTCCTGCGCCTCCAAGCACGCCGCTCTCCCTTCTTCTTCGAGAGTGCGTGGGTCGATCACGGCCGAGTTTTCAGCCAGCTTGGTAGTGCGCTTTCCAGCGAGCACCTTGAAAGGTTCTCCGTGAGAGGAAATCGAGGAAATCGGTATTTGCTGTAGGTGTAGCTCAGTGGTCGGCGTGTGAGTTCGCAGTCGAAGCGGCTGATTGGTGGTAGGCGGCGCATCGACGACCACCTCGCCAAACTGGAAGCTTCGGTCTAACCGCTGAGGCTCGCTCTTCGCCACCCCGGGCTCGGCGAGTAGAAGCGGGGCTGTGGAAGCCGGAAGAGAGCTGCCGAGTACCGCGGTGCTGCCGAGTAGAGGCGACGTGACGGGAAGACTCGTCCCGTCGCTCATTGAAGTACCAGTTGGCCATCTGGCAGGAGGCTCCCAGTGCTTGAGGGTCCTGGATTTGGGCGCCGGCGCTGGATTTGGGGTCCTCGCGAGGGGCGCCGGCGAGCCCAGTGGTGTGCCGTCGTCGGCCTCGTGTGCCATGGCTCGACTTGGGCACAGAACGACCGGTTCTGCGACTGTAGCCTGCTCCTGTGGGCCGTCAAAATGGGTGAGTAGCCAGATGAGTACACCGAGGGCCTGGTTGAAGTCGTCACTACCCATTGGCGCTGAAACGCTTGGCGGCACAGAGCGCTGGAGGAGCCACAGGGCGGTGGACATTGAGCGGCTCTGACTGCCACCGCGTGCTTCAACCTCCAGCCTTTCCAGCTGCGTCAAGAGCCCGCGGAATGAATGCGCGCCGCTACTGGCGGCTGGTGTCTGTAAGAGCTGGAGGGCAAGCACAATGCGGTGCAGCCTTTGGTATAGGCTTGAGTCCCTTTGCCTGGCCGCCGTTGCGAGCGCTTGTCGGCCACGCCGTGCACCAATGTCGGCACTGAGCGGCCTGGATGGCAGATGCTGCTCTCTCCGTATACCTGTTGACGAGACAGCCTTATTGGGAGAGCGATAGGTTGCATGCAAGGCTGCCATCTACGCGGACCGCCTTCGGACACCGGCACCGGTCGTGCGCAGACAGACGTTGTCGTTACGCCGCGATTGCGTTTTCTTTGCTGGCCACACGCTATTTCAACGATCTCAATCTGAGGGAGGGTGTAGAGGATGTAGAGTGTAGAGCGCTGTAGAGCTGTAGAGCTCTACATCCGCCGCGTGACGAGGCGGGTGCGTTGTAGAGGCTAGATAGAGCGATGTAGAGCGCGATTTTGCTGTAGAGTTTGTTGTAGAGGCTCTACAGCCAACCCGCCGGGAAGGCAGTGACTCAAAGAGGTCGAGTCGCACTAATGGGGTGTACAGTCTCCGAGCTTACTGGAGCTCAGATGGACGGCCCTGACTATCCCTGACACACAGAGAGTCACTCTGACGGCACACCAACACCCTATAACTGCGTCATGACCAGCCTGCCATGCGTCGCCGGTGCCGCATTCGTCGCAGTGCTTCTTTAGCAGGCGGTGGACTGTCGGCTGCGAGGACGGTCGCATTTGCGCGAGGCGAGGCGATCATTGTTGAGCGTTGCATGCGCCATGACTCGCGCCAGCGCGTGCGGGAGCTCCTGGCTGAGCGTTGAGTCCAGGCGAGTTGCGCTGGCCACTATCGCTACGCCGAGCCGAGCTGACGCGCCGAGGCGCCGGCCAGTCGCAGCCGTGAGGCACGCCACAGCAGCAGAGGCACCTGCCACCCATTGGGCGGGCAGACAGAAGGCCAGGGCAGCACTGGCGAGTGCAACGCGCCTCATGTCGGAGAGAGACCGTGCGTGCCTCGTTCGCCGCTTATGATGTAGAGTTTGTTGTAGAGATTTCACGTTGTAGAGCGCCTCTACATCGCTCTACAACGCACCCGCATCGTCACGCGGCGGATGTAGAGCTCTACAGCTCTACAGCGCTCCAGAGCGCTCTACATCTCTACAGCTCTACAGCTCTACAGCGCTCTACACTCTGCATCCTCTACACCCTCCCTCAGATCTCAATATATCTCTGGAGATCTGATCCATGGTGTGTCATTTAGAGACCTCTTAGTTACTTGTTAGTTGCTCTGAGAGTGGCAGATAGTGCCTGTTACCCAGATATCAGGATCTGTTCACACATCACACCCCCACCCACCCTACGTGTAGTCCGTAGCCTTGCTTGGTCTTGGGACGTACGCTCCCTGGAGGACCTCTGCGGACTGCGCTCTCTGGACTCTGGAGTGTGGAGAGGGGGTACTGCGCTGGGCCTGGGGCTGCGCGCCTGGGCGGGTGTGCTGACTCGTGACTGCACTGACTGACCACTGAGCAAGGCTTAGGGTTTAGATGAACCAGATACCTAGATATCTGGGTATCTGCCAGATATCTGAAGGCTCAGAGCCACTATCTGTATCTACCAGCCATGTAAAAGAGCGCGTCACACCCAGATACCAAGCAGATACCGACCGTCCAGACACGCACCAAGACACACCCACACTCCGACAGCGGCACGGCGGACAGCGGCCGCGACACACCGCGGGCGCGGCAGGGCGCGAGGGCCGGAGGGTCGAGGCGCGCTCCCGCGCTGCCTCTCACCCGCGCTGCCGTTCAAGCCGCGCACCAGTCGACTCACTACTCGGTGTTGAACGCCGCGAAGAGTGAGTGCTCGAGCGTGGTGTCCTTGGCCGACTTCTGGAGGTCGCCGTGCATCTTGCCCGCGGCCGAGAAGACGCGCTCGACGCCCGCGGAGGAGGCCGGTGCGGCGAAGTACTGCTTGACCATCTTGGCAAGCGCCGGCCACTTTGTCTCCTTGGCCTTTTCCACCACGCGAGCACGTCGAGCTCGAGCCGACTCCTCGGACTCCGCGAGGTACTGCTCATCGAGCACCGGGGTCGAATCGGCGGGCGCGACCTCCTTCTTGATGCCGGTAAAGTTGAGCTGTGTGAATGCTGCGTGAAGAATATTTTTCGGGCCTTTCACCACCCGGAAGATTTCTTCTTCACCACCCGCAAAAAGGATCTGATCACCCGAATACCACGTTCGGATCGCTCCTCATCGCAAACCCTGTCAGCAGTTCACCTACGCGCTACGGGTATGTTCGTAAGAGCTACATACTCCGAAACTCCGGCCGGTCGGATAAAGGGACAACGGCAGGACCCCAGATAAAGTACCGAAACCAGATCTGCCCAGATATCTGCTTGTAAAAATTCGCGGAAAAGAGCAACCACATATACCTATGGCACCGTTTTTTTTTGCACTATCTGCAGATGTGAAAAGCACCTAGATGCCGGTAAACCCTCTAGCCTTGCCACTCCGGTCTGAGCACTGTCATGAATGCTACGCCTATACGGCTCATAACTGTTAAAACTCTCATATTATAGTACTTAGTAGGGCTAGCGCTAAAGCCGTCCAGCTGCAGCTCCAGCGTCCAGCTCCAGGCCTAGGGGTCCCCCATGCGCCATGCCCATGGGTACGGCTACAGGCGAAACGGACGCGTCGGGGGGGGGGGGGGGGGGTTTCGACACACCACACTTCCACAGTCCATAACCGCGCACGGAGTGAAGACGGCCCCCCGGCTCGCACTTAAAGGTAATACCCCTCCCTGCCCACCCGCGTGTGGCGGACGCTGCCGCAAATCATTCGTGCGGCTGCACCGCAAGGAGCCGCCGCGCTACGTCCCGTCCCGCACCGCCTCCACGTCGACAGACGTGTAGTCGCGGCTGCCCCCGACCTTCGCGTCCGCCGATCGGCCGCCGAGCGAGTGGCGTCCGCTCAGGGCCTCCTTCGCCTTGTCGAGCCGCGCCGTCGCCTGCGCCAGCCTCTCCTCGAGCTCCTGCCGCTCCGCCGCCGCCCGCTCCTCCCTCTCCCGCTCGAGCTCCTGCCGCGCCGCCGCCTCCGCCGCGGCGGCGCGCTCCGCCCACACCCGGGTCGTCTCGGGGGAGGCCTGGACCGACCAAGCCTTGGCCACCGGGTCCGTCTCGGGCGGCGAGGTCGCCGCCTCTTCCGCAGCCCCGGAGTCCGGCGGAACCACGGAGGCCAGCTCGAGCGACGACTGAGGCGGTGGAGGAGGCGGCGGCGCGTCGTCGTCGTCTTCAAATGCTGCGGCGAGCAGCGCGCGCGTGTTCGCAGGAGGACGGCGGCGGCCTCGCCTCGCGCGCGCGCCGCGCGCCGACCCCCCCGCCCCGCCGCTCCGCTGGCTCTGCAGGACCGCGGTCAGGTGGTCGGAGAGGGAGGAGCAGCCGCTCGCCCTGCTGCCATGACTGCTGCTCGCCTCGACGTCGTCGTCTGCGTCGGAGCTCTCCTCCCCGTCCGCCTCGTCGTCGTCGTCGCTGTCCTCCTCCTCGCTCTCGCTCTCGCCCCCGCCCCCGCGCGGCCGCCGCCCCGCGCGCCGCCCGCCCGCCCTGGCTCGCCTCCTGCCCGGCGGGCCCGCCCTGAAGGTCTGGCCCGCGGCCAGGCTCTCGCTGCTCGTCTCGCTCCCGGTCGAGTCGTCGTCGTTGTGGGCGCCCTGCCCGCTCTCCTCGGCGTCGTACCTGACGGGGGCGGCGGGGGCGGCGGGATGACAGCGGCCGAGGCGGCGGCGACGGGCCAGCGGCGTGGGCCGTGGTGGGCGCGGCGCACACCGGTCCCGCAGTTTCTTGCGTGGAGAGTCTCGTCGCCTCCGTGGGGCCGCGGGCCGGGGCAAGGCGTCCTCGGACGCAGGCGCGCCGCGGGTCAGCAGCCTGGGCTCAAGCTGGATCGCGAGCTCGTCCAGCAGCGGGTCCCGGTTCGTCCAGCAGGAGATGCAGCAGAGCGAGACCCCGACGCCGCACGCGAGCAGCGCTAGCACGGTTCCGAGATCCAGCTCGGCGACCGAGTCGCCGCCGTACGCACCCGACTCGTCCGGGTTCCAGAGAGGAGGTGTCGGAGGCATGAAGGCCATGATAGGAGAGGAAAAGTCTCAACTGCTCGCCGCCCACGGCGTCTCAACTGCTCGGCTTCGAGTCGGGGCTCTGTTTCTTTTTTACTTTGTTCTTCCTCCCCTCCTCCCTCCCTGCTTGGCGCCCATTCCGCCCTCCACCCTCGCTCCCCCTTGTCCCGGCCGGCCTGGCCGGCATTTGCGCCATGGCGCCAAGTGGGGCGGAAGTAAGTGGATGGACGGGGCCCTGCGCTGACTGACTGACTGATTGACCCGCTCGCTGATGAGACACTAAACGGAATGGGGCGCCGACCTCTGCCCTTGCACAGCCTTTCGGTTCGTGAAGGGTCGGTGCGTCATCCCGCAGGTAGGTAGGTAGTAAGGTGAAGAACAGCCAGGCTCGGACTGGACACCAACGCGGTATGGGTGGACGCTGGACAGATGATGACGACACGCACGAGCGACACACAGACACAAACAGGCTCACAAGACACACAGCCAGCTGGCTGCCACACACCCTGAGTTGGCGCACACATAACTCAAGGCATCCCGCATCCCGCTTGAAAAAGAAAGTGAGCGTGTTGTGCCTCGACCGACAGCCTGGAGGCACGATGGCACAACCGGCTGTCTGAGAGCCTGAGAGCATGTCAGCACCGCATGGCAGCAACCGGCTCCGCACGGTGTTCGTGGGCAACATCCCCATGGAGGGCACGGCGGACGACCCCGAGCTCCGCGCCCTATTTGCCCAGGTCGGCCCGGTCGTCAAGCTGCGCATCGTCGTCGACCACGCCACCCAGAAGCGCAAGGGGTTTGCGTTTGTGGAGTATGTGGACAACGCGACAGCGGTCGCCGCAGTGGAGCAGCTGGCCGACGTCGACTTCGGCGGGCGGACGCTCCGCCTTGGCATCGCCGAGCAGGACACGCGCGACTCGAGCGGCGCCGGCGCTGCCGGCGCTGGCCGCGGCGCAAAGCGTGCAAAGCTCGGCGTTGGGCGGCAGGCGTCCGGCGGGCAGCTGGGCGCGGGAGGCAGCGACCCGCTCGGCCAGGTGATTGGAAACGCGAGCCGCGAGCAGCTTGCCGTGCTCGTGCAGCAGTCGCGAGCCTTCCTCGCCGCTCAGCCGCAGCAGGCCCGCCTGCTGCTGCAGTCGCAGCCGCAGCTGTACGGAGCGCTGCGCCGCGCGCTCGACCGGCTGTACACGCCGCTCAGCGCCGACTACCGCTCGCTCGACCACCGGCCACCCAGCCTCGGTCCGTACGACCAGCGCGCCCACATCCACCGGCCGCCTCCCGGCAGAGGCCCGCCGCCGCCGCCGCCGCCGCAGAGGCTGCTGGCCGACCATCCGCCGCCCTCGTACGGCGGGTACGGCTACGGCGCTCCGCGCGGCCCGCCGCCGCGCGGCGCTCCGCCAGGCGGCGGCTACGGCGGCGGCTACGGCGGCGGCTACGGCGGAGACGCCCGCCGCGGCTGCGGCGCGGCTGGCCGGCTCGTGAGACGCGGACTCGCATGCGGCCGTAGGCGCGCCGCCGCCGCCGCCGGGGTGGGGGCAGGCGTACGGCACGCCGCACGCCTACGGCACGCCGCACGCCGCTCCGCCGCGGCCGGCGGGCGGCGGGCTCGACCCGCACCAGCGCATGCTGCTCGAGCAGGTGCGGGGGCTGACGCCGGAGCAGCTGGGGGCGCTCACACCCGTGGAGCGGCAGCAGATCGAGATGCTCAAGGCGGCCGCGGCGAATATGTGACGGCCGCTCCAAGAGATTCGCGCCATCGCTCTTGCAGTTCTGACGGAGTGCGGTGTGAGTCTCGGCGTGTGCGGTGTCTCTCCGCGTGTGGGCTAGGGGTGCAACCCTACGGGGGAAGGACCGTGAGTTGACGGAAATCGGGGGACGCGACCCACCTCGCCACAGACGGTCCCGCGCCTCGCTGCTATGACGGGGACACACCCCGCACCATCCGCTGTGTGCCCGTCTTTGTCCGGAGTGAAAAGTCCAACGCGCTCGTCGGTGGCGGCTTCCCTCAACCTGCGCCGCGCTCGGCGAACCTCGATGACAGCGCCTTCGGTGGCTTGCAGCTCTTTGCGACAGAAGCCTGGAGAGCAGCTCCTCTGCTAGAGCTGTTTAACGTTAAGAGCTGAACAGTGTTGCTAGTGTTAACAGTTAACAACAGAACAACAGTGGGGCTCCCCAACAACAGTAGCTAACGTTAGGCCAGCTGAACAACAATAAGGAAGGCCTGGCAGTGACCCACGACGATCTCCAGCGTCCAGTGCGGGTAATACCCGAAAATACCTGGAAAAACCCAGGTATTTTCGGGTTTTACCCGGGATTTTGGGCATTTTCTGCTTGCTGACCACTGAACAACAGTAACAACAGTAACAAACAGTAACAGCTTGGGCTGGGCCTGGGGCGAACACTTGAACAACGTTGAGGATTTTCAGCCAACAATAGTGCAACTGTTAGGCCCAAAGTTAACGTTTGACAGCTCTATCCTCTGCTGCTCACACACTTCTGCACAGCTGACACAGCCTACTGTGCGGCTGCCACAGCTGTGACAGCGATGGGCTCGCCCTCACTGGCCCTCAGTCACTTGTGCTGCGGCTTGCGTGTGAGCTGTGAGCGACACTGCTCGGCGACTGCCGGCACACTGTGAGATCATGGGTGTGAGGTAAAACCACGCTACCAGCGCTTGATCACATCGGCCCCGAGGTCAGATCCTTCTACTCTGTTGATGACAAGACTTGTCTACTCGCTGGAGCCGAGCAGGAGGGCCCGGCGCACAACCCCTGTTCAGCTCAGGGTCCTTCCCCTTTTCCCTTTAGGGCCACCTGTGGGGTGTGGGGCCGGCTCTCTCAAAATCGACAAAAAACGCGCGCGCACCGCCTTTTCTACTTTATGTCTCGGCGATGATACACGTATAAAAACGTAGACGACATGCGTGTGCAAACGCTAAATTAACCGCGCCCCATGCCCCTGCCTGACGCCCTCCCAGCTCCGCGACCGCCACCGCCGCGCCCCTTGCCGTCGCCCTTGCCCTTGCCCCCCCGGCCGCGGCCGTCGCCCTTGCCGCCCTTGCCGCCCTTGCCCTTGCCTGCCATCGAGAGGTCCTCCTCGGGGACCATGTCGATCACCTCCTCGGGGATCCGCAAGTACCTGACGGCGGGCGCGCATTCCGCGTGAGGCCGGGCGGCGCAGCGGCGCTGCCGGCGCGGCTGTTCACTTGATGTTGTTTCCGCGGATCACCACCTCCGGCAAGCGCCAGAAGCGGTCGCCGTCGCGAGAGGTGCAGATGACCTCTTTCAATTTGATGTTCATCCAGTTGTCGCACGAGTCCAGCGTGCCGTTGAAGGTCTCGCCGTTTTTGAGCTCAACGAGCTGGCGCGCGCGCGAGCAGGGGCGGGTGAGTTTGCAGTGGCTGGGCGCGGCGCGAGGCGCGCGAGCGCACCATCGGGTTGCCCGTCGCGGTTCGCAGCAGCGAGAGCGGCAGCATAGCTCCACCGCGACTCCAGGCCCGGCCTTTTTTTATTTTTGTGTGTAAGCGGGGGCGTCACGTTGATTCGTCTCAGTCTCACGTGAATTCGTCCCTGTCTCACTCTCACCTCTCAGCGGTGTCTCAATAGATCCATCACTCCGTCTCACTTCCGTCTCACTTCCGTCTCTCCTTCTGCCGTCTCAGCGGTGTCTCAATAGATCCATCACTCCGCGTCTCACTTCCGTCTCACTGCAGTCTCTTCCTGCCTTCTCGTCCGTCTCACTGCAGTCTCTTCCTGCCTTCTCGTCCGTCTCAAGCGCGACAGGCTCCCGAGAGTGCCCGAGAGCGCCCGAGAGCGCCCGAGAGTGCCCGAGAGTGCCCAGATTGCCCGAGAGTACCCGTGCAACGTCGTGATGTGGTCGGGCAGTGGGAGGCGCCCGAGAATACCCGAGATTGCCCGAGGTTGCGTGCTTGGGCTCCTGCCACTGCCCCGAGGTGACCCCTGCGCATCAGACCGCTTCACGAGGGCGATCTCGGGTACTCTCGGGCGCCTGCCACACTGCCCCGACCACCCATGAGGTTGCACGGGTTATCTTGGGCAATCTCGGCACTCTCGGGAGCCTGCCGCGCTGAGACGGACGAGAAGGTCAGAGACGGAAGTGAGACGGAAGTGTTGAGACGGAGTGCTGGATCTATTGAGACACCGCTGAGACGCTGAGAGTGAGACAGGGACGAATTCACGTGAGACTTGAGACGACTCCCCAAAATTTCCGCTCATTTTTGTGCACCGGAGGTACTTTATTTTTGGCGGACATCATGATGAAATTCTGCAAAAACCTGGCCGGCCCCTCCCCTGCCCCTACCTACCTACCTACCTACCTACCCTACTTATGGGAAACTAGTAGAGGGGGCGTTCTGCAGTTAAAGGGGAAACCCGGTACACGGAGCCCTCTCGGAGACCCATGTTTACATTACGGCCCTTTCCCTGCGAACGCGCACCCCCCCAGGGCTAGGGCTCTCTTGCCCGCAACCCGATCCCGATCATCTGGCCCGCTGGGTGTGCTTCTTAGGACTTAGCCCCCCGGCCGCCTGGATGTGAGGCTGATAATTGCACTCCAAGACCAAGTGCTCCATAGTGGATGGGTGAAGGTGGGGTACTATACCAACTAAAGTGATGGATGGTGTGGTACTCTCCTGCAACCACAGACCAGGAGACCTTCCCTGTGGCATGGCAGGCCACTCTCAGGCCCTACAAGCATCAGATCACCCATTTGGGGACCACGTTTGACATCGTGATTTCCCCGGAAAATTTCTTTGTTCTGCTGTGAAAATTCCTTGAATTTTGTTTGAAAATTCCAGCGTGAAGAGAGGGAAAACCCCGACGGGAGGGCCCAGACCTACAAGACCTACCCTACTACCCCGTCATGATGTCCGCCCCGAGCAAAAATAAAACACACATGTTCACCCGTTCGACAGGGTTCGGAAAAAGAAACGACATCCCTTCCTCCCGTAACAAAACAACACAGAACACGGATGTTGGAGAGAGAGAGATTTTTAGAAGCCAACAAGAAATCTGGCACTGACAGTGATTTGGGCTCGGCAGCTTGTCGACTACCAGCCGAAGCCGGAGTCGGAACCGTAGCCGAGATGGTCGCCGAGGGTGTCGAATATGTCATTCGCCTCGCTAGTAGAGCCGGAGCCGCATGAGTCTTGGTCGGAGGAGGAGTCGTCGGAGGAGCGGTCGGACCGCTCGCGCTTGTCGCGCCTGATGCGCTCTGCGAGGGTGCGCCGGGGTCGTGGTCGTCGTGCTCGAGCGTCGGGAAGACAGCGCGCCTTGCGACCTTGTCGGCCGAGCTGCCATCCCAGTACAAGGTGTACCAGTCGCCGCGAGGATACTGGATAGAACCAAGCGGAGGGTGACCAACCTGTACCGTCCGAGAGCGGCCGCCTGAGCGGCCTGAGCGGCCGCCTGAGCAGCCGTTGTCTTCTTGATGTTGGTCATTACAAAACATACAAGAAGCTCTGGCTGTCTGGGGTCTGGGCGGGGGGGGGGGGGGGGGGGACTCCCAAGGCCACAAGCCATGCGCAATGCCAATGGTGTCTAAGAGAGGGTTTGACACACTCCTGGATGCATGCACACAGTCACAAGCGCCTCAAGACTTCGCGGGTCAAGAGCGGTGTAGAGAGCTAGAGGGACCCTGTTTCTTGTTAATGTATAATGACCCAACATAAACGTATAACATATACGAGTCCTAGAGGATAATCCCACGCGACGTTCGAATTTCCAGGTTACTGATACTGTATGTACTCGCATGTGTTGGCCGCACTGGCCCTGTGCGTGCTCGCCTGCCTCCCTTCCCGCGATCCCCGCCGCGCCCACCAAAGCTCACCCAAGATCGACACCCAAGACACGACGCGCCGCCCCTTTGTGGAGCTCAGAGCTCAATAGCGCAGCTTGGCCGCCTCCTGCAGCGCCTTGCGGTCGTCGGCGTCGCGCGGCTCCATCGCGAGGCACTCGGCGAGCCAGTCCCGCGCCTCCTGCCTCTGGCCCATCTCCGAGCAGCACTTTGCGAGCAGGAGCCGGTTGTTTGCGTAGAAGCCAGGCTCGAGCCGCTCGGCGTGGGAGAGGTGCGTGTACGCCTCCTGGTAGGTCGCCTCGGGCGGCGACGCGAAGAGCGCACTCGCCGCCTTCCGCTCGAGCCACGACAGCCTCGCCACCTCGTAGCACCACAGCCCGACCAGGTGCCGCGAGGTGGGGTCGGCGGGGTCGAGCTCCGCCGCGCGGTCAAAGTGCTGCTTGACCGCAAAGGACGACTTGATCTTGTCGGCCGTCGAGCCGGGCCTCGTGCCGAGGAGGATGGCGTACCACTTGTGCGCGGCGCCGAGCTCGGGCGCCGCCTCGAGCGCGCGCGTGGCGTACTCGAGACTTTCTTTTTCCCCATACCGACGGCAAATGGCGAGTGGCGGGCACCGTTGTCGGTGCGCGGCTCATGCATGCTGTAGAGAGAGATTGCAGGGCCTTTTCAACAAAATCCCACAGAGTACCATCTGCCTCTCCATCATCTCCTTGGTGCTTGGAGATGTCGTCGGTGGTGGCAGTTGTGGACCGATCGTGCCACGAGCGAGAGTCGAGCGAGAGGAGCTTGTTCAGTCAGCACATCATCCATCCATATCCAGGTGTGGGTCGGAGTTCCTCACTTCCTCTTTTGGGTGAATTCCATTGGGTGAGCTTCAGATGTCAGGCCTCTCACACCCCTCCCCCTCGCTCGGCTCATGAGTCAAAACATGAGTCACAGGACTAGCATGTGGATTCGAACCACCGCTTGTCCCCACTCAAGGTTATGGGAGCGGCCATAACAGGTGTTATGGCTGTTATGGCTGGCTGCTCATAACACCCCATAACACCTCATAACACCTCATAACACCTCCACCGCTGTTATGGCTGTTATGCCCACCCTACCATAACACCTCATAACACCTCCATAACACCTCATAGCACTCATAACACCTCCCACTGGTTGTTATGACAGCCAGCATAACAACCTCATAACAGCGCTGTTATGACTCGGCCAAAACCTCATAACCTTTTTAGAAACCTCGAGACATGTAGTGGAAAAAGGAAAGAAAAAGGACGTGAGTTAAATTGCGGGAAAGACATACAAGTTAAAAACGGAGGGAAGCGTGCAGAGCTGCAGAGAGTACGAGTTAGAAACGGGAAGCAAATTGCGTGAGGGGGGGGGGGGGGGCTGGTCTTGATTGAGCAATCTGAAGCCATCGCTCAGCCTCAGGAGGCAGGTATATGTTATTGAATTTAACTTGAGGGCAAAAGAGAAAATATTTGGCGATCGATGCCGAACCTACCTCGCGCGCGGCCGCGCGCGAAGCGGAAATTCCAGCGGCGAGCAGTCCGGCGTGGCCTCTCGAGCCATAACACCGTGGACCCGGGACGGCCCTCCCATAACATGTTATGGGTGTTATGGCTGTTATGGGCCCGCTGCTATGCCCAGAGAGCCATAACACCATAAATAACTGTGAGTGGGGACAACACCGCCGGCCGGGATGGAAGGTTCCTTGCCATGCGCCCTGCTTTCCATATCGTCAATCATTCTGTCTCTTCAAATTACAAGTACGGGCTTCTTCTTGAGCGCCTTCTCGTTCCACTCCTTTCTCCGCTCTCACATACACACTCTCCATACACTGGAGAGAGAGAGTCCCCCTTCTCCCAGTAAGCTAAAAGTAACGTACACTTGACTGGAGTGTGGAGACTGGACACGTACACACGTGCGTCACGCGTGCCCGCAAACAAACCAAAATCGCTCCACGAACAGGTTCAGGCCGCACATACACGCGGGCAGCCTTGGTCAACCGCCCGCGTATAGCGCCGCGTTCCGGGGGGGCCTCTGCGCTAACCGCTAAGCGCTATCTTCTCTCGGTCGTCTCCTCGAGGGACGACTCGAGCTGCTGAGAGGGTGAGAGAGAACCGAGCAAGACCAGGGCGCGGACTCGCCCGCACCTGCGCCACCTCCCGGCTCTCCGCCTCACGTCTACACACACACTACACTCTCCCAGTACTCAAAAACTCACTCTCACGTCTCACTCTCAGTCTCAGATACGTCAGACTGACAGTCAGGTCAGAGAGACGTCAGAGATCAGAGTGTGGGGAGAACCTTGTACCTTCGCGCGGTACGGGGTGTGGACCCTGAGTTGACCAGGGGTTGTGCGCTGGGCCCTCCTGCTCGGCTCCAGCCAGTAGACAAGTCTTGTCATCAACAGAGTAGAAGGATCTGACCTCGGGGACGATGTGACCAAGCGCTGGTAGCGTGGTTTAACCTCACACCCATGGTCTCACAGTGTGCCGGCAGTCGCCGAGCAGTGACCAGTGCGGTCGCTCACACAAGCCGCAGCACAAGTGACTGAGGGCCAGTGAGGGCGAGCCCATCGCTGTCACAGCTGTGGCAGCCGCACAGTAGGCTGTGTCAACTGTGCAGAGTGTGTGAGCAGCAGAGGAGCTGCTCTCCAGGCTTCTGTCGCAAAGAGCTGCATGCCACCGAAAGCGCTGTCGAGGTTCGCCGAGCGCGGCGAAATCCGGGGACACCGTCACCGACGAGTGCGTTGGAGTATTCACTCCGGACAAAGACGGCGACACGCACACGAGCCGCGGCCGTGTCGCCGTCCTAGCGGCGAGGCGCGGGACCGTCTGTGGCGAAGTGGGTCGCGTCCCCGGATTTCCTGAACTCACGGTCCGCTCCCTCTACGCTACCTCTACGGCTCTATACGTGCACGGTTTTGCGAGTGTCTCCTCGCGACGAGGAAAGAGAAGAAACCACACAAGGACACTACGTAACAAGGTACACAAGCTCACTCGCTCAAGTACACTTCTCTGTGGAGAGACTTCTTAACACTTAAGTAAAAACCCAGGGTGGGTGTTCAATACTTGGTGTACGTCAGGAAGAGGGCCTTCTCCTCCCGCCGCAGCCAGCGCAGTAGCTGGCTGCACGCTGCGGCCGCGGCCGGAAGCTGTATCAGCGGCCAGAGCGCCACGTAGAGCTCAAAGCCGGCGCCGCGCCACGCGACGACGAGCTCCGAGTCGGAGGCCGCAAAGTACTCGTGCGCCGGGCCGTCCCTGCCCTTGGCGTGCGTGCGGGCCTGCGCGCGCTGGTAACGGCGGAGGAGCCGCTCGAGTGCGGCCGGCTCGGCGTACGGGCTGCCGGCCGGGAGGAGCGGCGAGATGGACTGGCCGAGGGAGGTGGCCGTGTAGGCGTAGTGCAGCAGCTCGGGCACGCCGGCCGCCTCGAGCGGCGGCGAGGGCGCGGCGAGGGCGGCGGCGAGCGCGGAGGCGGCGGGTGGCGCGAGGGCGGCGAGCGAGGCGGCAAAGGCGTCGCGGTGCGCGGCGAGGGGAGCGAAGGCGTCGCGGTCGGGCGAGAGGAGGACGAGGCGGAGGTGCTGGCCGACGGTCGAGACGTGCGCGTGCAAGAAGCCGCGCTCATTGAAGTGCGGCAAGCAAAGCGGCAGCCAGGACTGCGACTGGTCGTCGGCAAACTGCCGGCCGCCCCTCCCCTCGCCGCCGCCGCCCTCGCCGCCTCTCCCCTCGGCGCCGCCCTCGCCGCCCTCGGCCGCCTCGGAGATCGCGTTGAGGAGGAGGAGCAGGTCCGATGCGCCGAGCGCCGCGCGCTGGCCGCGCAGCGCCGTGAGGAGCCGCCCGTGGCCGAGCAGCACGGCGAAGAGGAGCGGCGCCGGCCGGTTCCGCCGCAGCCTTCGCGTGAGCTCGCCGCGCAGCGCCGGCGGTGCTCGCATCGCGGGCGGCGCCTGCAGCAGCAGCGAGGGAGAGGAGGTGGCGCCGCGCAGCATCCTCTGCAGAGCGCGGTCGGTGCCGCCGAGGAGCGAGCGCAGGTCGAAGCCGGCGTTGCGCGCGAACACCTCCTCCACCTTTGAGGTGAGGACAGAGAGGAGCTGCGCGTGCAGTGCGGCCAGCTGGCGGGAGAGGTAGGGCACCGTATCGCCGCACGAGGAGGAGGCGACGAGATAGAGCGGCCCACGCACGAGAAAGGCGAGCGAGGTCGCGCCCGCACGCACGTGCCGGATCTCGTCGCCGCCGCGCTGCACAAAGGACACGATTGCGGCGACAAGCGCGGCAAGATCGGCGACGGACGTCTCGTCGCCGTGCTGCAGCGAAAAGATGGGCTTGCCCGCCGAGGAGAGGACGAGGAGATGCCTGCCGCCGCGAACTTGGGACGAGCACAGCGAATCGCTGTGCGAGTCCGCTTGCGCTTGGTCAGACATTTATGGTAGAGCTGCGGTCACTAATCCGATGCCGCCAGCCAGTCTGCCACCGACTCAAGACGCACACGCCTCCATCCACACCTCTCACTCATCAGAACACCGCAGACTTGCAAACGAGGTTGCCTGCTGGGACCTCTGTTTACTTTACGGCCCTTTCCCTGCGAACGCGCACCCCCAGGGCTAGGGCTCTCTTGCCCGCAACCCGATGCCAATCATCCGGCCCGCTGGGTGCGCTTCTGAGCTCCCCGGCCCTGGATGTGCGGTTAATGACTGCACTCCAAGTGCTCCAAGTGGGGTCGCCTCGTGAATAAACGAGTATAAACAGCGGTGTGCAAAATGCCAAGTGCGCGCGCCGCGCAGGCGAAGAGAAATCTTGACGAGCTCTCTGGGGGGCGCGAGGGCCCTAGAGGGTATCCGTGCGGGGGGGCGATGGGGTCCCATGGCCCGCCGCAGGCGCCGATTTTTTCGATTTTTCCCTCTTCTTTTTTGCGCATTTTTACTTGTTTTCATGGGAATCCGGCGTACTTGCGGCCATGCTATCACGCCTTGCGACAGCCTGTCGGCGCTGCTGACCGTGCCATGATGCACAACTGACCGCCTGCATAGCTCGCGGCCTTAGTATCAAGCATTCAGTGACGACCTGATCGTACGGCCAGTAGGAAGGTGTCCTTCCAGCTGCGTGCACGCTTCTGACGCAATGCGCGTCGCCTCGGATTGGCTGTTGGCACTCTCGAGGCTATGCCTACGCAGCCTCGCGCGCATGGGCAGTCAAGAGGGACCACGCACCTTCTCAGGACAGCGCCGGTGCCTCTCTCTTGGACCGGCAAACGTGGTGGTCTCGTGTCACCGATGTGGGACCAGTGCGGCATCGCGCCATCGACAGCTCTGAACTGCGCCTCACCACTGACCGGGAAGGCCGCCAAGTGGGCCAGCACAGGTCGCACATTGTGGCAGCAGTCAGCAGTGCATGTCTGATAGCTAGAGCAGCAGCGTCAGGGTCGCAGGGTCGGATCGTGTCAAGCCTCTCGCCCGGCCGGCCGCGAGAGAGAGTGTCGGCCGCGTGCAGACGTCGGCCTGTCTGCTGTCTGGAGTGATCTGTCGGCGGTCAGTACGACCGATCAGGTCGGAGTTTTCTGATGGTTGGAGGGTCTATCTGTATGTACTCCTCGAGATCTCTCCAAATCTGCCCTCTGATTAACCTAGCTTAATCGGGAAGTTGGTGCTAACGGAGACTAACGGAGCCGGGGCCCCGTTTCCGCACTGCTGCGCGGCGCACGGTGCCTCCGGGGGCCCCCGCGCCCCCGCCCCCAGAGGACGAGCTGGGAGCTCCCGTTCACACTCGTCTCTGGCCTTTTCTCGGAGCCGCGCCTGCGGCGCGCCGTGGTTTCTTAGATTTTTGCAGAAATCGCTCGGCGTGGTTTCTTAATCTATGCGACACGCGCTTTGGCTAGTTCCATTTCACTCTGACACGCTAATCTTGAAAACGTCGAACGGAGCTCCGTGTTGCTCCCAGCGCCCTCCCCCGCGCTCCCTGCGGCCATGGCCGATGATACTAGTATGAGAGGTCATCTGGCTACCGCGAGCGCGACTCAACTCGCCGACGTCGTCCGATGATTGTGCCTCAAAGTCAGCCTCCGGAGGCTATCGTGGGGTCGAGCCGGCAGTAGCCGTGACATGTGGTTCCACCACCCCTCGTATGCTTTGCCTCTGACCGCCACCGTTCCCAGGCTGCCAAATGGGATGGAAAGGAAGGCTCGGCGAGCGTATAGAAGCGTGCTCGACCTCGTCGTGGCAACCTGCACGGCAGCGCTGGTAGGCGCGATGAGCGTCGTGCCACCTGACCCGAGACGGGTCGCACGCGTCGTACCGAGCGCGTCGAGACCGTGTCCTGATGTGATCTGCACGGGTGAGTCACGTCGGCGTCAAAGGAGCGACGTGCGACCTGTCAGAGCTTGATCTCCGATCTCAGCGGCGTCGAGTCGTCTCCGGCGCGCGACAAAGGTACATCCCCAGGACGCGCAGAGGCAGCTGCGATCCAGCGGAGTGGACGGTAACGCACCGCGCCACCTGCTGTGCGTTACCGTCCACTCGGCGGGGTCGCAGCTGCCTCTGGAAGGCACCCAGATGTACCTTTGTCGCGCAAATGGTCAAATCAAGGTTTTGTAACGCGAGCTGTGCCACAGTGAAATGGAACTAGCCTTTCTTATATTATAAAAAAAAAATTGCTAGCTCAAAAAACCGGCACACCAATCTCCCTTCCTCTCTCGATCCTCTCTTGGAGCTCCAGAGTCCACACCCCCCTGCCCCGGGATCGCGTACAAGCTATGGCTACCGTAGGCCACACTAGCGTCGCTGGGGGTTCCCTGCCCTAGATGGGAAGCTGGCCGCTGATCCGAAGACCGACTGCACCAGGGCGCCTAGATATACTCGAGGTGAGCGAGGGTGAAGTTACGCCTTAAATGCCGGCCTCTCTACTGTGGACCTTACTCCGAGCTCGTTGGCTCCTCCTATTCCCCCACCCCCCCTCCCCCCCCACTCTCTCCGAGCAAGGGCGTGCGCTACGTCCCCAAGGGGGGGGGACGTGGGGGGGAGGTGTGGCGCTTAAGTTGTGGCGTTTGAGTTGTTGTGGGGCACCCAAACGGTTTCGGTTTTCCTCCTTGGTGCCCCGAGTAGAGCGCGATCTCCCCTGGAGTCTGTCGCGCCCGTTCTGTCTAAGCTCGAGGTTCAACCTTCCAGTTGATCCTTATCGGACTGGTGAGGTCTGCCTAGCCGTCGTAGTGTAGTGCCTGGGGTGCGTCTGCGTCGGTGCTACACACACTCGGCAGGACGCTGCTCTAGGTCGGTGCTGCTGGTCGTCGCTGTTTGTCAAGGTGATAAATCGTTTCTCTTTTGTGTCAACAAAATGACTCTCACAGTGACTTCTTTGTGTGGCCAAAAACATGTCCGAGATAAACCCGAACCCGGGCCTTTAGACAGAATGTTGGTCCCCGAACCACTAGACCATGAGCCTTACTTTGCTATCTCGCAATACATTTTCTTCAGCTTTTCTAGTATGATCTCGCCGTGGCAGCGGCGCGGGGCGCAAGCGCAGACCAGTCCTATGGCTTGGCCCTGGATCATGTGAGTAAGCATCTTGGAGAGTGTCTCTTGTCTCTTGTCCGGCGTGACTAGTGCCGATGATGCATGGACTAGGAGTGGCGGATTGTGGTCTGCTGCTACTGCCTCTGGTGCGCGTCGGCCTCCGAGCACCTGTCCGAATCCTTCGACCACGAGGTCTCTCTCGCTCTCCCCTCTCATCACAAAGGGTGGAGACGGTCGCTGGATGTTAAACGGGATTAGGTGGCTCGGAAGAGGGTGGCGCTTGTGTAGCAGCATCACTAGGCCCTATGCGTTGTCGGCGGAGGTGGAGCCGCGGCGCTTCGCGTAGGCCTTTTCCGCTTCCTCCCGCTCTCGCTTCCGCTTCTCTCGCGCTTCGACGAGGCGGTTGCGCAGGGCTGCCGTCTCCTCCGCGGACTTGTTTGCGGTCGAGGGGCCGGGTGGGGGGCCGCTGAGCGAGCGGCAGTCGCACCAAACTCGGCTCAAGTCCCCCACCAGCCCTTGTTGCTGCAGCTGCGTGATGTGGTGCGCGACGACGCCGTTGAACCTCGCGAATGGAGGCAGCTTGAGGCACCTATATTCCGGAGTGGTTTTCTTTTTCTGTGATTTCTTTTGTGCGGTCTGCTGCGACTCGTGCTTGGAGCAGAAGATGGACTCGCGGCGGGAGAAGAGGTCAAACTGCCAGGAGCGGCCGTCCTTGTCCGCCACGTGGATGCGGCCGTCCGCCTTGGTGATCGCGGGGAGGCCCTTGGGGTTGTGGATGAGGACGTCGTGCAGGGCGTCGAATTGGACCTGTTTGGTGGATTGGTGGAGCAGTCAAGGGCGGGAGGAAGAGGGGAAGAAGGGGGGTCTGTGCCTTGGTGTGGCACCCGAACAGCTTGGTGCCCGGGGCCGCGCCGTCGAGGCC